TAATTAAATTAGGTAACCTTAGTCATTATGAATTTACATGGCAACTATTAAATTTTAACAATATCTGTTAAAAAAAGCCCTATTAAAATCAAAATCTAATAAAATTTCGCAGTTACATACATGTAATTTATGACACTGATTCTTAAACAATATTTGGATACACATACAACACTCAACAAGATATTTATCCGTCATTTTAATTTGAAGCCTATAAGGTTATTTCTCCCACCTTCTTGGCGAGCCTTCGTGTAGTGGTCCGGTATTTCAGAGGTCCGCTGTTCAATTCCCAGCGAAGGCGCTGTTAATTTTCAATCTTTCCTGCTTTCAAAAATACCTAATGTCTCTACAAGGCACCCCAAACATTTTGGCTAGTTTATATTGATTTCTTTCTCTTTAATTATCGATCTTTCTTGACAATAATTAGAAATTTGTCTCAATATGCAAACCAATGTTCTCGCCAGTTTCTGTGTGCTTTATCTCCTAACTTGTCAACCTCTCCACAATGTACCTATGAGGGTTTACTTGATCTGGTAAAAGTTAAATAGTCCCAACCCCCACCGCCACCCGATAGACGTGAAGCAAATTGTCACTATGTCTAAAGTAACTACAATATCAGACAAAGAACTTAGAACATTAAGGCATGTTCTGATGCTAACAAATTCAATTACAGCTCACGGTGACGTAATTAAACAAGAACAGTCAAATTCAAACTAAAAACGTGGACGAGTGGTCAAAGATTATACAATTTAATTTTAATTTAATCTGGCTCCGTAACTCTATCATATGAGGAAACAGAAATGGGAAGTTATAGTAAAGGCTGAAATAATAAACAATTAGGTAATTTACATAATAATAACTGCACATATCTTTGAAGAATAATTTTCTTTATGTATTTGGTTTCTTTCTTCAACGTGTTTCCTATTAATTTTAGAATTTTGGGATTTAATTAAGGATTTCTGTTATTCTAAAAAACACTAAATGCATTTAGAATGTACAGAAGAGCTGGTGTGGCAGAATTTTTAGAATTTAGTGATACACAGAACAACAAAATCTAGAAATGGCAAAACTTTTAGAATTTAGAGCGGGCATTGGAAGTAGAATTTAGATAGGCACTAGGCAGCAGAATTTAGGATACACAGAGATTGCATCAGGTGGGAAAATGCATAGCACCAGCTCTGTGACCAATGCATTTAGACATATTAGATGAATCTTTTAAATTGTATGTTTTTAATTTCTATATTAATAAAAATTCGCTTCTTTCTATAATGGCTGCCCAAGTGATAAGATTAGAAGCATTTTTGATATTTTCCATGCTTTTGTCTAGTGAAAAGTAGAGAAAATAAAAAGAAGATAAACATGTTAAGAAAATGATTTTAGTATCAGGAGTAAAACATTCAAATATTATGTTTCTATTGTTCTTCCAGACGTTCTCCAAAAAGTAAGAAATTCACTTTCTGTAAAATGCATCCATTACGTCCTGATATGTTGATACCATGGAGGCATTTTTCATTTTGTCACATATTTCTCGAATCTTATAGGATCGTGCGTCTATAAATCTTGCCTTCAAATCCTTCTAAACTTTCCATGCTTCAATGTCAAAAATACTAAAGAAAAATTATCCCAACCAATTCTGTAACAGCGAAAAGCCAGAAATATTTTGAAAAAGAAAAAAAAAAAAAAAAAAAAGAAAAAAAAAAAAGAAAAAAAAAGAAAAGAAAAAGGAAGGAAAAAGTGTAAAATTAATTTTATAGAAAAAACTGATGCATATTCTGAGAATTTTGAATAATTTAAGACAATTAATTACATGGGATAAACGCTTACTATGACAAAATTAAAAAGAAGACATTTTAACTAATTACATAGCTAATTTTGCTTTTACTAAGAGCTGTTTCATAAATTATGCTTTATAGCTACATACCTTGTTTATTTTTCAGATTTAAAATATTGTATAATAAGTTGCCAAAATAAAACTTTATAACATGACAGCAAAAAATAAAAATTTTTTATTTTAATGTTATTTTTTAAATATAATTCTAATATATTAGCACTATTTTAATGAAATTTATCATTGATGTTATGATAAATTTTATGTCAAATCGTTATTAAATGTTATCAAAAATTTTATGTCATGTCATTTTATAATCAATGTTATGTCAAATAAGAACAATTATGAACAATGTTATGATGCTTAAAAAAAATCGCCGAAAAATTCTCAGATCTCGGAATTAAAAATTTTCTATAGAAACTGATCTTAAAAATTGCCAAAATGTTGACAAGTTGTCAAATTTAGAACCATTTAATAAAAGAATTCACAACCCCAAAAGCGAAAAGTTGTTTAAGAGAAAAAAAAGAATTTTGAAATGCTTATGTTTCACTTCTTGCTTAGAAACTCGAGTATCCGATCATCAGAAATCGAAACAAATTATAACCCATTCAAAAGATAACGTCAATGAATCGCCAAAAATATTCCTCCAAAATGCTAATTCACACTCAAAATGGCAGTCTTAAACACAGACAGAAATTTCAGATGATTAAAATTAAGGACTTTTAAGGACCAAAAACCGATTTCAAAAAATTTGAGGACTTTTAAGGACTCTTAAGGACCGTACGAACCCTGATGTAACAATTTAATCAATTTCAAGGCATCCACCGCAAGTTTATCAAAGAACTGCAAATAATTCTATTTCTGCCAATTTCTATCACAGTCATGTTACTTTTAAAACAGGTAATGTCCATCAGGATAGCATAAAATATACAGTACGACGGCAATTTAAAAGTAATGCTCACTAATTCCCCCCCTTAGGTTAATTTTATTTCAAACAGCTAGTGCTTACATTCTTTCTGTGCAAAGCTATCATAGATTGTCAGAGATAAACTTTAACATAGGTAAACACTTCAATCTTGAAGCTCACTTTCTTGACATAATTTGACAGACATAAGGTAATTCAAGATGAACAGTACAAAAAAAGCATATTTGCAATCATTATAATAAATTTATTTTACAGATAAAAGTATGAAACAAAAGATTTATAACTCTCTAACTTTCATTGGACAATAGCCAAATTGTCATGAAAGGAGCCAAATTCAAAATTCATCTCCTCTAATAACATTAAAAATGGCAGCATCAGTGAAAACAATTCATTGTGGATTTGAACATGCAAAAGCTATTAGTTATCGTTGTTTAGGATATTTCTGAATAAAATTTGCTTAAAGCACCTCACCATCACAATGTCACAATGTCAGAGCAGATGAAATAGTTTAAAGGCAAAAGTTGCTTGTGCGAGTAAAAAGCACAAACATTCTGACATTTGTCTAGGCCAACAACTAAGCAGAAGTCGGTAATCGAATTGTGGAAAACAATTGTGTCATTTAGCCTTGAAGCCTCAGCAAGTCCATGCATCACGTTAACAGACAAGTAAGCAAAATAATGGCATGTTTTGCATAAGCTTCTGCAGTTCGTATTACAGATCTAACAAAGCACAGGCCTTAAAATTTGCCGAAAAGTCAAATGGATAAAATTTAGTGTTGATTTTGTGGGCAGACTCGTGTGATGAAGCCACGTTTCATTTATGCAAGAAAAGGAACAGGTATAATGTCATATTTGATTTATGGAAAATTTGTTAGTTACAGAGGGAACATATATGTAATTTTCTGAAGATAAATGTTTTCTACGCCTTAACAAAACACAGCTGCTTTTTCTTCGCAGAACCCTAGAAAAGATTTTCTTATGCTCAATTCTCAACAGGACTTACAGCAAATAAAGTAGTGGTTCAGGTGAGGCAGTTCAGGTGAGTTCTTTGCTGATGAATTTTCAATAGAGACACATTTCTGAATTATATCTGGATAATTATAAATTAAATAAATTGCCATATAAAAATTAAATTAATTAAAAATAATAACTTAAAGCCATTAAAACTACTGAAAAAGAATAAAATGTTAAAAAAAATATTTTAATTAATCATCAATATACAATCTACTCTGATGTAATTTTAAAACAAATAATACTGTAAAAATAAACATAACAAAATAAGAATTCTCAAAATTAGAAACCAGAAAAAGTACTACATAAATTAAAAGCAATGGGTTAAATAAATATTTTAAATAAATTTTAAACCAAAGAAAATTCAATAAATTGGGAGGGGAGAGAGATAGTGTGTGCATGTGAATATATATATATGCACATTTCTCTTTTTCCCACCCCTCAAACGGCCAGACTGTGCATGGTACACAGGGACACACATATACCTCTGTCTTAGATAAAAAAAAATCTAGGCATGGCTCCAGTATCAATGCTCATAACTTTTTGTCTGCATTACACCACTATATTCTCTTCCGCTGAACTTTAATCTGAGCTATATTACATAGTTCATGTAAAATTTTAGAAATGATACATTCCTTCCTACTACGCAATATTTAATGTACTGCGAACAGCATCAAATAAAAGAATAAAATGGCACTTCTCAGCAGTATCGACAAGTTGCTTCCATGACAGAGAAAAATAAGTCAAAAGAAAATTATTTATTATTTCTTTCATATTAATATTATAGTTCTATTTTATTCATGTACAATACTAATAATCAATTTAAATCTATCAATGTATATTTTGCCTCAAACATATGCCTTCAACAATCTTTGGTAATATATGTATTTTGTATATATGAATTTTTGTTTGTTTGTAATTGCTATGAGATTGCTTTCACATCTGTAAATAGGAATGGATTTTGAAATCCACCAAAAATTTTTGATAAACTGCAGATTGCATTAACTATCAGAACTAGCAGTGGAAGAATTTTATTTATTTATTATTATTTTTTATGATCAATTAATGCAAAGTTTCTATTTGATAAGACTTAGCGCCTAAAATTCTTACATATCAGTTAAATAAAGTGTACAACTTCGACAGGCCACAAATAAGCAGTTGAAAAACCATGAGCTGCAATCATTGGCTTAAGAGAGAGGGAGAAATGCACACACAGTTAAAACTTTTATGACAAACTCACCTGCACAACAGGCTGCTGTTGCTCCTGAATTTTAGTTTGACTAGGTTTTTCTGTCACAACTTGGCTAGAAGTTACAGACGAAATCCCGTTTGGTGCTGAGCGAGTTACCACTGCAGTTGGTACACCAGTAGTATTTGATTTTAATATGCTACCTCTATGCAGAAAATAAAATAATTTCATTAACATATTATATTCAGATTTTAGAAAAATATTATACATAGAAAATTAGAAATGTTTCATTTAGAAGATTTATTTACATTCATCATACTTTAAGAGAGATACAATTCAGAATCATTATTGCAAATTTCAGTTTTTTTTAACATAAAACAGACATAACTATTTATCACATTTTATGCAATAGAATTTTATTTCATCAGCACACTTTGGGACTGAAAGTTGTACGAGTCAGTGAATTTTGTAGATTATGGGTCATGTCTTTTCTAACACGTCCTAATTTTTATATTAAATCTTTATTGCTTGCACATAAATAACTACCTAACATGCACTTAAGCATTGTTTAATCACAATTTGTTGAATTTATGACTTTTTTGCAATGTAATAAAATGGAAAGAAAATGCCAGTACCAGAGGGGAAACTTAGCGGAAACATAAAATATGGAAAATTTATATGCAACTGTAGAACTGTGTAAATACATTGAAGAATTCTATGGGGCGGAAAATGCATTCTCATCCATCAAATTACTTTTAGAAGTATTTTTATACTTTTAAATGAGAAAAAAATTAAATGAACAAATGAGTACACTATTTTATTTACAAAAATCCCAGCATTAAGAATTTTAAAATTAAACCCCTATGCTAATTTTGCCTTTATGTTCTGCACATGTGCTACTGAATAAATAATAGCAAAGTGAACTAAAATTTTGGATTTATTAAAAGAAAGTTTTTTTGTTCTTTAGCAAATTTTTCTTCATCACATTTTCCATTTTTACTGCTAGGATATTCTTCACAAATGTTATTTTCAAGTTTATAGCCTTGGTTGCTGCTGATGTAATCACGCTGTCTTATTGCACATAATGTAAATAAATAAGCAAAAAATTATATTTAAGTCAGAATGCGATGTCTCAAAAACTGCCGATAAATAAATCTTATACATATTCTCAGAATTTCAATAATTATACAGTCAAAAGTCGTTAATTCGGATACCCATAATCCGTACCTCAAAGCAACAAACTTTCTGCGCATGCGTCTGCGCGTAAGACCTTTAAGTCTGCGAATATGCGTGTGTGCATGCGCAAAATTCGTTTACGAATGTGCATTCAATGTATAATGGATGGTATAAGCTAAGCTAAAATTATCTAATTCAGTTAATGTTGCAGATTGCGTTGTTCCTTAATCTTCGAATTGGATTCGGCTTATTATTTTTGCAGACTGTTAGAGCAATTTTATAAAAGTAAGCTTGAACTTTCGATTATGTCAAACAGAATTTCTGATATATATTTACTAATATGTAAAGGATCTACAAAGCGAAAGTATGTTTTGAAGTCCATTAAACAAAAAGTGGAACTGCTGCAAAAAATGGATAAAGGCATATCCTTTGTTTATCTAAACTTTAACGTTTGTTTATCTAAACCTTGTTTATCTTTAACGCCCTGGCGCGCAATGAATTGGAAGTTGATCTGTCAGCACTATCCTTATCTTCAGGGCAGACGTTTTTATTTTATTTGGCTTATAATTCCTTACTAAATGTAGTATTTCATCTCGATGTACTCTGTCTTTGATATGATTTAAATCAAATTCCCCGTCATTACAATTCGCTTCCGATAGCGAAGAAAGTAACAGAGGTTATTGAAAATGAAAAAATTTCAATTGACAAATTAGTTGGTATTCTCAACACAGCAATTATAGGACTTGAACAGCAGAACTTTGTAACCGAACAAGAAATTATGTCTGTTTATAGAATTAAAGAGAATGTATTATCACATACAAAACAAAACAACTTAAACAACTTACATTGAAAGAAATGTTTAAAGTAAACAAATAAATATTAAGCTTTTTTTTTTTTTTTTTTTTTTTGTAAATTTTGATACCCTTTAGATCAGAATTGCTCTTTATTTCATAAATTATGGTTTCATATTTCTAATTTTATAATTTCTGCATGCCATCTTACCAGATTTAAACTGATGATCTATAATCCGGAATCGCCGAAGTCCCAACGAGTCCGGATTAACGACTTTTGACTGTATATGATTAAAAATAAATATTTCTTACACAGATGTAATAACTCGAGTCTGTACAACACTTGTCCTAGTTGCATTATTTCTTTGATCATTTTTATGACTGGTTTCAGAAAATGCTGAAAGGCTAGGTGCAGCCAATTCTGAGAAACTTGCATTATCTGAAGAGACATCATTAGATACATTACTTTGTTCAGGAACAGTGTCTTGGGTATGTTGCTCTACAGGAGTGAATGGTAAGGTATCAGTATTCTCACTATAAGTCTGGTTATTCTGCTCCTTCTGAGAAACTTTATTAATAAAACTACTTTTTAAAGCAATTGGAGTCTCTGGTTCACTTGGTAGAGTTATTGACGGTGTATTCAGAACTTCTGAATCTGGTAAACTTGCTATTAATGATGATGACTAGAAAACATAAACATATTATGAAAAAAATAAAAGATAACAATCAGCACACATGAATATGTAATACATGCATAAATAAAAACAAGCTAATAAAATCTTTACCTCAGGCAAAACCAAATTAGCACCACCATTGGAGGAATTAGCTTTTCGAAAGGTAGCATCAAAAGGATTGTCATTCTGGAAGTCTTGAAATAAATCAGATTCTAGTGCATTTAGAAATCGAGTAGGAGTGGGTGTTTGATCTATTAAAAAAAAAAAAAAAGTCTAAAAAAGGGTCCTCTTTCTAAGAATGTAAACATTAGGTTTTATTCTAGATTTTAGAAATTACAACTACTAAACAGCTAACTAAAAATTATTAAAAGAACTAATAATTTTTGTAGAATGCAATAAAAAATGTAATTTTTACTAATAATACTGCAACATCTTTTTCCATACTTTTCTTCTTTTTTTCTCAAACTGCAATCCAAATGAGTATTCACAGTTTATTGCAAGATAAGAATATTTTAAGATTCACTATTTATAATGCTAAAAATGGTTGATGTTGAATCTGTTCAAGTACACTTGAACAGCACTAATTAAATTAAAATTAATATTAAAATTAAAGGTACTTTTCCATTTTGCCGGCGCAGGCAATAAAGATGCTAGTAATGGTACAATTGATGCCAGACAGAATATCCTCACTGGTAATCTTTTGCGCCTCACTTTCAAAATAAGTTGCAGCCATTTCTTATCAGATTGATTGCTTCTTTCAATACTGGCACACATTTGCATAGAATTTTTACCAGATAGTTCAATTTTATGCCCTTAGCCATTCGCAGTAATTAAGTCAATTAGGATGCAATGACACCGCTCAATCGAAGGCGAAAATATAGAAAAGCAAAGCCAAGGGTTAAATTCATCAATTCTAATGAGAATGCACTAGCAAAGTAAAGCACTGTGGTTTTACATAATTTCTGAGTAAGCTATTTGTATGAATTGATATAATTCTTGCATTTAAACTTATATTCTAAATTAAGATTTAACTTGAAATTAATGTAGATAATTACTAAGAGAATTTGATTTTACGTGAGATGAAATCACTTGGGGTCAAGAGATATGAACTAACGAATCAGGATGTTGAACCATGAAAGCATAGTAAATTCTTAAATTAACGTCTTTTTACAAATTTATTGTCTTTATTTATTGGCTTTTTACAAAATTTTAAATGACATTAAAATGTTTATGCCTTCAAAATAAAAAATTCTTAGAACTAACATTCATTAACATTTTTTATTTGTGCATATGGTATGTTGTCGCCCAATAAGGTCTGCTTGGGGAGATTTGCGCCGATGAAATGGAAAAGTACCAAATTAAACTAATATTAAGTATATACAAATTATAAATTTACAATCATTAAAATTAAAAATAACTTAAGCCTTAGACTTAACTAAGTACTTAGATAATTCCTATTTAAACTTTCAACACAAATAGGTCTTTCACTTATACATTTATTAATAAAATTACAACAAAATATTTAAAATATGTTTAAATATTATAACATGTGCATTACATGTTATAATTATTATAACCTAAGGTAAAATGTTAATTATTTTATTTAACAGTTAAATGTCTATGTCAGTTCCTAGAATTTGATTTAAAGTTCTTTCGGTAGGCCTTTAGTATTTGTTCTATTCTAATTATCATTTTTGAGCTTTATTGATGTTCTCATTCTGTTTGACAAATTTATTGCTCCATAGCTCAAATAGTGCTTATTTGTACTGTAGATATCCTTAACTGATGCACAGTTTTTAATAATAAATTTCATAAAAGAATTCATACTGCTGGTCAGTTGAGATAAATGAGTTACAGCTGTAAATGGACAGTAAAAGGCTTAATTGTCAGGTGAGCACATACATGCATTTATATTTGAAATGCAAACGTGATGAAAATAGGTTGGAAAGGGAACCATGCCACATAACAAAATTAGTTAGTTGCAAGATGGCTATGTTTCAATTTGTGCTGACATAGGAATGCACATTGCTGGCCATTAAAATTGCAACACTAGAAAGGAATGATCTGACGAATGTCAAAATCACATGAAAGGAAGAAGAGGTTGAGATATGCAAACGATTAGCATTTCAGCACATTTAGATGATGCTGGAGGGAGAAACGACATCTGAAGAACTGAATAAAAGAAAAGTTGTCTAGTGGATTTCTGATTCAGAAAGTGCCTTGTAAGGTCAGTTTGCTCAGAATATCATGTTATGCCTCGAGTAAGAAAAAGAAATGCTTGCTAGCAAGTGTCAGAATTCGACAGAGGCAGAATCGCTGCCTATCAAGAGTGAGGATTATCATTCCACGATATTGCCCGTCGCACTGGTCAACATCCAACCACTGTCAAGCGAATATGGAATCAATTGGTTGCTGAGGGTGATACTGAATGGCATGCAGGATCTCAATGCCCTCCCATGACTAACGCCTGAGAGGACAGACATATCGTGAGATCAACCCTGCAAAACCACACAACCAAATCACTGTCCATTATTCAGGAAATGGGCATGTTTGCAGTATGTCCAGTATCTGCTATAACATGTGTATGGTTTGTCGACGTTTGTAAAAGCCCGGACTACCAGCACAGCAACCATTACTTCGGCTACCCTTTACATTGCAGCATAGAGAGAGACAGTGATGCTGGTGCGCCGAACGACAAAGATGGATACAGGAGTGACACAAAATCATCTTTTCAGATGAGTTACGGTTCTGTGTGCAGTATTCTGATGACCGTATATATGCCTGGAGGTTCTGAGGAGAGCATACATTGCCTGCTTGCATTCGATATTGGCATAGGGGTCCCTACACCTAGTGTGATGGTTTGCACAGCCATTGGGTACATGACATGCACATCTCTAGTTCGAATCAACAGTAGTTAGAACGCAGATCAATACATTTCTGACATCTTACATCCAGTGGTTTTGCCCTATCTTCAAGGCCTTCTAAACGCCATAACAAATATTTCCAGATATATGAAACTAATCATAGCAATGGTTATAACAAATTAATTTTAACTGAAAGTCATAACAAAGTATTTCTATAAAATATCAGACAAGACAGTTAGTTACATATATTTCTGCCACCATAAGCATAGCAAATAATATATTAGAGTAACTTTACTCTATTGAAGCCTTTTATTCATCATTTTGCAGTCAATCATCTTTCTGTCTTTTCAATGATGTCCTAAAAGCCCCCTCTGATATTTTATTTCCCTTGGTTTTTTTACTACTACCATGTTACTACGACTATGTAAACTAAACAAGCACAGTTAACATGAATAATCTGCAACAAACACAAAAGTATCCATTAAAGATCACATGAAGTAACAGAATAACAGAAGAAAGATTTATTTAGAATGGTTGGTTGTTTAGATAAGCTCCAAGAAAAACTGTATGTTATAGTGTAAACATTGTTGAAAATTGACTTTTTCTTTATAAATTCACCAGATCTTTCAAATTTGCAGTTCCTTATTTCATTTCATTTAGAACACATTAATCTTAACACTATCTGTCAAAGCTAAAATATATTTCTTGCTTAAAAAAATCGGGATATTTTATGCTAAATGAATAAATAGCACTAAATACTTTTCTATGCTACAAAAATTATTCTCTGTAAATTACTTTAAACAGAAACTGTGCGTGATACTTGCAGTGGAGAAATAACCTATGCATGTCTGAATGAGTGAACCACTGCTAATGGTGGCATTTAACAAGGAGAAGATCATCCACAGTCTGAAATGTCAATTTCACCAGCTAAAGTTGAATCTGAGAATTGCTATTTACTGACACGATGCTTAATCAATTTCACCAAAAGTGTATCTGGGTAATCATGTAGTATGCAATCTACCACTTGGAGTTAACTATTTCTTAGATGGCGTGACTTTAAAATCCAAATGTGCAATAAAATGTAGGGAGAAAGAATGATTAAACCAACAACCAATCTAAAAATTAAATAACAAACTAAAAGCGCCAGGTCACATACTACATTATTACCTGCACTTGTGATCCAAGGGCAAGTCACATCTGAATTCTGCATTAGTGAGCCTCCTCCACTGCAGTATTCTCTCGCTAGTGCATCAACATGATATGCGATTTGTGGTGCACGTGAGTCTTAATTACACCAAGAAGCATGCAAGTTGAATTCTGATGCATAAAGATGGATAGGGCATATGCACAAGCTCTGATGCACTGAATAGTGTAAGAAGGGAGAAGGAATAGTTTGAATACTATCCATTATCTGTAGCATGAGCTCTGTATAGTTCAATGCATAAAACACTTGTGGTGCCACCTACTGAGAATATCATCCTTGGTTAGAAATGCAGACAAACCAAAAGCTTATATCAATGAACCATAAGTGACTTGATAATCCAAAGGAAAACTGGGGTTGTATTTTCAACATTTAGTGAACTAGTACTATACACTGTTAGTGCCCTTACAATAAGGCCAGGATTTTTATTTCATACAACCTAGTTGCATAATGATATACTTGATATAGCAACAACACAGAGAACAGATCTGCAGATACCTACATCTACTGACATTCATCACAGCATTTAAAGAAAGCAATAGCTATACAGAATTCTGAAAGCAAAGGATTATGCAACATAAGGATTATAAGCTATTGTTTTTACAGTTTTTAAAATAGAATGCTATTTACACAGCCATTCTGAAATACTCAGTATAATAGACTATCTGCTAAATTTTAAAATTTCAACCGAAAAGAGCATGAAAAATTTGAAAGTAGGTCTCAAATACTAGTTGCAGCAATTTTTAATATTCTAACAACATATCCAAAACATAATTAAATTAAAATTTATCCTGAAAAGTTTCACGAGTTTCAGCAATAAAACAATATAATATATATAACATAAATATTAAAAAAGCAGTGACAACCCTTTTCTTAAATTATACAATGGAAAGAGAAACTCACCAACAAATGGGTTTTTAAAGGTAGCAGTAGTAGGCGTTAGAGTTAATGATAATTCATGCTTCTTCTTATGTACTGTCAAATGATCTTCATTCACAAATGCCTGCATGAATATACAAATATCTAATTATATATAATTATAATATGATAATTCTAAAATTAAGAGTAATTAACATCCAATTATATAGGTATTAAAAATAAAACAATGTCATTTAACCTTGCTTTGGCAAAATTTATATAACTATGAAGTATACCAGAGGTCACTGATGGCCAGTTGTTCAGACCAGTAAGTCACATATGATCTGTGATGTATCTTTTCAGACTCATATCAGAGTTAATAGGATTTTCTATTACTGACAACAGACTCCATATTTAGCACAGCAAAATTTAATTTTCTTTTCACCATCCACATCAAATATTTTACTTTACAAAAATCCCTTTTAATGCAAATCAAAAACATCACTTTTAATCCATATAAAAATTTTTGCTTTACAAAAACTGAGATGCAAACTGAGATTTAGTTTGGAATATGGACAATGAACTTCAGAAAATACAACCGAAGTAATTCTAGTAAAAGTTCAAAAGCAATATTTTGATTAAAAAAAGTATTTTTTCAATAGAATTAAAGTTGGCTATCAACAACTGAGTGCACCTTATTTAAAGAAGTTGATTTACTGGAATCTTTCGAAAATTTTGTTTTGAATTATTTAATTTAAAAAAAGAGGTATGTGCAACATTTAATAAACAGAATCATATGCCACAAAAAAAGGGAGAAAACTAATAATAGTAATAAGGACCTAAATTGCTTTCAATGTGTGAAAACTATCTTTAATTCTTTTAATATTAAACTTGCTCATAAAAATAAGTAGTATAGAAAATAATTAAAAAATTTTAAAATATTCTTCAATTAAAATTTGTTGAATTAAAAAAGCCCGAGCAAGAACAATATATTTCTTAAAAATTATGCAGTTATGCAGTTTGATAATGAAGTGGGACAGATTTTATTATTTTTAGAATAAAGTGAAGACAAAAATTTATTTTTGACACACTGGTTATACTCCAAGGAATATGTCATCAACTTTTTCAAGTGTAGAAATTATTAAACTTTTTTTTTTTTTTTTTTTTTTACTATTCCAGTTTCTAATGCACTTGGAGAAATAGCTTTTTCCATCTTAGAAAGGGCAAAAATCTATTTAAGAAACATGCTGTCAAAGAAAAGATTAAACTGTATGGCTCTAATATATATGGAACAAGAAGTGTCAAGTATCTATACTTTGAATATTTTATGAATTTGCTAAAAAGAGACAGGTAAAAAAATTATTAAATTTACTACTTAAAATCCCCTACTATATTAATAAATTATTTTAATTTAAAAATATTTAATATTCATTCAAATTGATGCTTTTCTTTTCTTTTGCATACAATAAATTTAATGATATCAATTTTTAAGCATTTTAGTCCTGATATGTAAAAGAACTAATATAAGAATAATAAAATAAAAGAAAAAAAATCTGAAAGGTTTCAGATTTTAAATTACGTTCAAAGGGGCGTTTTTTTAACGTTTTGTGTGCTACCATTATTCATTAAATATCATATTCTTTGCACTTAAACCATAAATTTCAGTTCGAAAGCAATGTCACAAAATAATTTTAAAATGGGCTTATCTCTAGAATTTCTGATACACAGTTACACGCGCTGGAGTTAAAAAGGTCCCCCCCCGGAGAGTGTTGCCATTGCTCGCTTTCAAATCATTGAGTTTGTTACCCAAAAATTCGTTAAAGTTTTACAAAATATGAAATCGATACTCTATGTACCATTGTTTTATCACAATGCGAGAAATATACATACATTTATGCAGATTTTTCATTATTTAATTTCTTCTAATATAATGCAGGACTCTAACATTTGGTGGCAACAATTTGAAAAGTGAAACGGATATTTATAGTGATTCAACGCAAAATCGCAAAACAACCTTTGGACTAAAAATATTAAATCATAATTTTATTAAAATATTAATAATATTTAATTTTTTTTACATTTCCACACATAGGCACACAAATATTTTCGTAGGGAACCCCCAATGGCTTAACCCACCCTTTGGATTGTTTTGGTTTAATTAATTATGGCAAAATACTTGAGGATTATCTGCCTAAAAGGAGGGATGCCTTCATAGAGGACTTTCTAAGGGAAACTGGCTTGTATATGTTACACATAAGGAAAACCACGAAAACGCCCATGTAGCCATCCCATTCAACAGGATCCAAACCTCACACAGACCTACCAGTTTTCAGAGATACTGGCAGCCCACCAGTCGGCTGCTGGTGGGCCTCTCCACCATTTGGAAGAGCAATAAAAATATGCATGCAACTAATCTCTTTTATTGACTTATACATCCTAATACTTCATTTGCCGCCATGTAATCTTAAGATTTTTACCCAATACCTTATTATATTTAATATTAAATATAATTTTAGAAAATTGTCAACTTTATCAAAAAATATAAAGATATAAACTCCATTTTTGTTAAGAAAAGGAATGCTGATGTCCCTCATTATGATATATATCATCCTCTTAAAAAATATTAACATCACTCACCATATTGCAATCTGCTGATGGACAATGAAAAGGCTTATCATCCATGATTAATGATATATCCAAATTCTGAAACAATTATTAATACTTTTTAAATTGCAAAATATACAAACAATATTTTCTTTCACTTACATTATAAAAACAAATAATATCAACAGCATGTTTACCTTTTCTAAAATTTAATAATTATTTTCTAAATCAGAATATAGACTACATTAACAATTAAAGAATAAATCACAGCTATTACTATTCTTAAAAAGATAAATCATTTGATTTTACGACTCTTTTTACACTTATTTTTGATCACTATTCAAAATCTGTTAAGATTTATTTTTGATAAGTTCTATGATGCTCCTCTTTTAAGATTTCTGCACTTCTTAATTTATGAATATTAATTTCTCCAATAATCATCCAATCAAGCAGAGGTGTATAAGAAATATAAAACTTTCCCTTCATATCTTTTTGTCATTCATGCTATAACAACCCCAATCCATTTTCTATTTTGATGAAAAAAACAGTAGTACTTTATTTTTAAAAGCTATATATTTTAATTTAAAATGACCAAATTTTTCTAAAATCAATGTGGAACAAGATAATTTCAATAACTGGGGGGAGGAGAATTTTATTTGTGGCATAAACACAGAGTTTTAAATAAGTAATATATTTTGATATTCCCCCTCTCCCAAGGTACTAACTAACTAAAACAGACCTCATGTTTAACATGAGGCATATGTTAGAAAAAAGGGAACACAGACGTCTTCTGTTGCGCAGCATTGTTGGCCCAAAATCACACTTTCAATTTTTATGCAACCAAAATTATTCAAAAAACATCTTCCATTAGTGAACTGAATTTTCTAGAGGCATTTCACATTAAAAAAAAAATCTTTCTGTTCTAGTTAGCGATCCTAATTCCAACCCATCTTCGCCTTCAGCCTTTAAGGAATTATGTTTTAGTTCTTGTTTCATCAATAGATGGTGCCAGTAGCTTAACTCCTGTCCAGTCTTTCTTATCTCATTCATTTGCCCTTTTGCAGCTGAGGATGATGGTTCGGTAAAACCATTGAAACTAGTCTTGTGAAAATTTGAAAATATAACGTTGATTTTTTTTGTTTGACTTCTAAACTAAGATTTCATGGTTCCAAACAATTCAGGTCTTCTGTGAAAGTGCTCACCCAGTGGCATAGTTAGGATTCCAAAGCCCAGGGACGGACAACTGAAGAATTTGCATCCCTTTCTGTGTGCCAAGAATGGAAAACATTTCATTAAAAAATTTCGTAGCATCAATTTGGTGCCGCCTGGATGCTATGCTCGAGGACAGATGTCTTCCCTTGCCCCACTCTAGCTATGCCACTGTGCTCACCTTAGACAATATGACAATCAATAATGCTCTCAACCAGTGATTATTTAGTGTTCTCAGAAATACTAAGTGCATTTAGAAGTGGTTGCCATACGAGGTTTCACTGTATCTCTATTGAAATACATTCTGTACTGCTAAAAATGTTCCTAGCAAGAAGAATTCACTTATTAATATTACAGATTTAAAAGAAACATGATTATTCTCATTACAGCAAAAACTCAGCCTACTTCACTCAATTACAGTTTTATATTTAGATAATTGTTTAATTTGCCATTATTTTCATGTTTTCATATATAGTATTTTACTGAATAATCTGTAACTAATTACCTTTCATCAAAATATTTTCTTTTAGAAATTAAGCTTTCTTTTACATGTTTATTTTCTAAATTATTTTCAAAAGATGAGCCATTTAAAAATTTTCAGATAATTTAACTCTTTATTTTTCAAGTAATGAATTGTACTTGGAATAGAAATCCAAATGATGTTTCACAAATTTCTTTTCTTAAGTGAAACTCCTAGGTTTTATAAAACATACATCTAGCAAACATTATTACTGAATTACTGATTACATTTCTGATTCTAAAAAATATCTTCATGTCTATGAAGAGGCACAGAATTCATGCCAACTTTATATACAAAATCCAAGAATTTTTACAGAATGACGGACATTTGCTAAGATACATCTTGAATTGGCCACTACACTGAAATCCAAGCAAACTGACTGTCACTTTATTTCAGTTTCTGACTCGATAAATGAATAAACTACATTTTTAGAATACTATTACCATGACTCCTATGATTTGTACTTTTTATGCTTAGCACAGCCTAAAAAAACACAAAATCTACATTCATCTCGAAATATAACATTTAAATAGATCAATCAATAATCTCACTTGAATGAAAAAAAAAAAAAAAAAAAAAAAAAAAGATACATTCAATATAAGCATTTAATCTAGTCATCTAGTATTGCTAATTATTCACTTATGAACAAAAATGTCTACAATTTCATACTAATTGATAGAAACTATAGCACTTGCATTTCTCATTAAAAGACGATGCCACTGTTATTAATTTATCAGGAAAATAGAGATCACACCAAAGCTACACTAACCATTTCTGTAAATTCTGAAGGAATTGGCACCTCTTTATTTAATAAAGAATTAAAATTCGACCCACTTTGTTTTTGACCTTTGTAAAAAGGCTTTTGTCAATATCCACTACTTAGTTAACCCACAAGCACATACTGGGTCCAAAAGACCGGACCCGATTCGTGTTTTTTGAAGAAAAAATTGTAACTCTGCAGAAAAAGGGTTACATCTATGCCAATAAATTTTATAATCAAACTTATAAAATATGCACATTAAAACTTTTAATTTCTCGAAATGCTTTTATGAAATAAAATTTCTTAAAAGAATAGCAAATCGTATTAGATATTAGCATAGGGAAAAAAAACTGTATCTCTGTGTCGATTCTTTATTTTCTTTATTAACACAATAGAGACTGAGAAAAAATGCAACAACAAACATTAGCAGAACTTTCATCAAAGTGTTGTGTGTTCCAAATACAAATATTTGTCACATTCGGCCAGTGTATTTTTGTTTCTGTGTGCTTTTTCCCTGGGCGAACTCTACAATTTTTTTAATCATTTCCGATAATTTTTTCCCAATAAAACAATTTGTCATTCTCACTCTAGTTTTCAAAATCTATATCAGTTTCTGAGAATTAGTATCATATTATATGAACTAAAAATTCAGGATCACTTCCATCCTCATTTTCTTCAATATCTTCAGTTGATGCATGTAATAACTTTTGCAATATTTCTTCCTTGTAAGATAAATTACGCAACAGGTTTGCCGCTTTCAAAACTGTCACAAATAAACTATCTAATATAGAAGAGAAACACGCCAATGTGACAATCAAAACTGAAATAACAACCTTGTATTTGGCATACATATATTAAAACACTCACAGTTTTTATATTAAAACAGACTCGCAGTCACAGTGAGTGTTTTAATATATGCACGCCAAATACAAGGTTGTTATTTCGATTCTGAAACTATCTAATAGTAATATGAATAAGAGCACTGAGTCTAAAAGGTCCGATCCGATCAAAATTAAGACTCCAAATCAAAGCCTAGGTGAAAAAAACTTTAGAAACATAAAGAGGTCGACTTCAGACATGATTACATTGGACCTCAACAATTTGCGTCAAATAGGTGTGCTTTGAGAAAGGTTTGTTTAATTGTGCGGGTCCATTGGACCCAGTGCGCATGCTTGCAGGTTAATTTGTCCAATTTAACCAGAAGCTCTGTTTAGAATACTATGAGTATAAAATTTTCCTCAGTAATTGTTTCAATCTATTACTGTTTCGTCGACCATATCATGTCTATTAATACACCCGTTTTTGACAAAAAGGTTAATTTTGTAAAAATTGTAATAGTTTTGTTTTAAATGCAAGAAAAGAAGGCAGCAATAACAGTTAATTCATATCCTTATTCATAAAAAAAAAGGTTACTTCTCGAGAATCAATTCGGGTTACATCAAACCAAAATGCAGATGTTATTTTTGTGTTGTTATGTCACTTTTATCCATAACTGGTAGTTAATCACCAACTTGGCAATTGTTTAGTGGTCGAACAGAATAATGTGTAAGCAGCTGAAAATGCAAACAGTAGGCTGCTACAGATCAGTCACAACAGACATTACATAACAGGTCTTTTGAAGCTCTGACGATTATTTACACACCTCAGCACGACATGCTTAATATGTCCTTCAGTTCTGAACTTGTATAAGGTTCAAGATCTGGACTCATCAGGATTTAAGTGATTCTAAATTTGGGATTTTTCTGGATATTAGATCATCAGTTTAAAATTAGTAAGATGACACACAGAAATTATAAAATAGAGGTTTATGAAATAATGAAGCACTTATAAGCTTAAGGGAATCAAACTTACATAGACAATTCAATATTTATTTGTTTGCTTTATTAAACATTTTTTTAAATGTAAGTTGTTTAAGTTGTTTTTTTTATGTTAATACTTTTTTTATGTTCTCCTTACAGATAGATGTAATTTTTTGTTCAGTTACAAAGGTTCAATGTTCAAGTCGTGTAACTACCGTGTCGAGAATTCTCACTAAATTGTAAATGAAAATCTTTTCATTTTCAACTGTTTCTGTTACATTCTTTACTATCAGTAGCAACATTTTTTTTTTTTTTTTTTTTGACTTAGAATCATATTAAAGATTTCACCATTCATAAGTTGACTGATGATTGGTTACCGTCATCAGAATAAAATGCTTTGTTACTCATCTTCATAACACTTCTTTCAATGAAATTACAGTCAAAAGTCGTTAACTCGGACTCGTCGGGACTTCGGCGATTCCAGATTATCGATCATCAGTTTAAATCTGGTAAGATGGCATGCAGAAATTATAAAATTAAAAATATGAAACCATAATTTATGAAATAAAGAACAATTATGATCTAAAGGGTATCAAAATTTACAAAAAAAAATTTATTTAATATTCTCAATACTCAATACATTGTTTACTTTATTAAACATTTCTTTCAATGTAAGTTGTTTAAGTTGCTTCGTTTTTTATGTGATAATACATTCTCTTTAATTCTATAAACAGACATAATTTCTTGTTCAGTTACAAAGTTCCGCTTACAAAGTCCTATAATTGCTGTGTCTACCGACTAATTTGTCAATCGAAATTTTTTGTTTTCAATAACCTATGTCACTTTCTTCGCTATCGTAAGCGAATTATAATGACGAGGAATTTGATTTAAATCATATCAAAGACGGAGTACATGGAGATGAAATACTACATTTAGAAAGGAATTATAAGCCAAATAAATTAGAAACATCTGCCCTGAAGATAAGGATAGTGCTGACAGATCAACTTCCAATTCATTGTGCGCTGCGGCGTTAAAGATAAACAAAGTTTAGATAAACAAACGTTAAAGTTTAGATAAACAAAGGATATGCCTTTATCCATTTTTTGCAGCAATTCCACTTTTTGTTTAATGAACTTCGAAACATACTTTCGCTTTGTAGATCCTTTACATATTAATAAATATATATCAGAAATTCTATGTGACATAATTGAAACTTCAAGCTTACTTTAATAAAATTGCTCTAACATTCTGCAAAACATAATAAGCCAGATCCAATTCGAAGATTAAGGAACAACGCAATCTGCAACATTAACTGAATTAGATAATTTTAGCTTAGCTTATACCGTCCGTTATACATTAAATGCGCATTCGTAAACGTATTTTGCACACGCGCACACGCATACTCACAGCCATAAAGGTCTTACGCGCATGCGTCAACGCGACACATGCGCAGAAAGTTTGTAGCTTTGATTTCCGGATTATGGGTGTCCGAATTAACGACTTTCGACTGTATTAAGTTGAACCACAAATGACATAATAGCATTTCAATATAACATTTCAGACTTGTTTAATTTTTTTGTTAAATAATTTTACTTTTTTTGTTAAATAAATTTACAGACAGAAAATTCTGGATTGCCAAAAGAAATATTCTCAATACTATTATTGCTGATATTTGCATGCAATTCTTTAAATCCTAATTGTTTAAAAAATCTAATTCAGCTAATCTTTGGAATATGGTAAAAGGTAGTTTGGCGACATTTTGGTAAGGCGATAAAGGTTACTAGCTAGGACTTTAGCAGTGTACATGGATAAAGTCAAGTATGCGCGCAATGCCATTTTTGTGCAATTCTGGGATGTTTTTTTTAAGTGAAAATAGGTCTTCGTGAAAACAAAATGGCATCCAAAAACAAACTAGCAGGTTGCTGTAGCAGGGCTGGTCGCCAAATTTTCGCCCAAAATCGCCAAGTTACCATAATCCAAAGATTAACCTCTGATTCTTTTAATCCTAGGTTTGTTGAGGATACTTAAGTACTCAACAGGGGAGCAAATATTAAATAAATATATAATAAATAGAGCAATTAAGAGCAATTAAGTGACTGATTATGCTGAGCCTGAAAAATAATAAATTTAAATAATATTAAATAAATTTTAACTGGAAATAACTGTCGTTAAAGTTACTGAAAATAATAATATAATATTTCATGCTTATTTGATTTTTTTGGTTAACAATTTTACTTTTTGTCAAAACAGAAAGACTGTCATAGGAAATCTTCTCAGTATTATTAACCCCTTAACTGCCGCGGGCGTATATATACGCCTTGCTCAGCCGATGCGTTAACTGCCCCAGATGCGCCGCCGATGCGTTAACTTTGCGAATAATTTTAGGTGTAGCAGCGCAAAGCAAATGATAGCAGTTTGGAAGGACGTATATATACGCCTGGGGCACTTAACGCATCGGCTGAGCAAGGCGTATATATACACCCGCGGCAGTTAAGGGGTTAATGTTACACTCAGCATGAATGCAATTATTTAAGAGCAATTATGTGATTGATCATACTGAGCCTGAAAAATAATAAATTTAAATAATATTAAAAAAATGCAACTGTTGTTAACCTTCTAGCATGTGCGCTTGGCAATTTTACATGAGCAGGCGCACGTCGTATTTTTTATGACATCTGTTATTTTACCGTTTTTGGCACGAAAAATGACAGAAATGAGTGAATATTGATAATAAATTTGTTACAAAATAAAATACAGCCAAAAGTCGTTAATTCGGACACCCATAATCCGGAATGATCTATAATCCGGACCTCAAAGCTACAAACTTTCTGCGCATGCGTCGTGTTGACCTTTACGGCTGCGAATATGCGTGTGCGCAAAATACGTTTACGAATGCGCGTTTAATGTATAACAGATGGTATAAGCTAAGCTAAAATTATCTAATTCTAGTTAATGTTGCAGATTGCGTTGTTCTTTAATCTTCGAATTGGATTCGGATTATTATTTTTTGCAGACTGTTAGAGCAATTTTATAAAAGTAAGCTTGAACTTTCGATTAGTCAAACAGAATTTCTGATATATATTTACTAATATGTAAAGGATCTACAAAGCGAAAAGTATGTTTCAAAGTCCATTAACAAAAAGTGAAATTGCTGCAAAAAAAATTGATTAAGGCATATCCTTGTTTTAATTATAACTTTGTTTATCTAAACTTTAACGTTTGTTTATATCTAAACCTTGTTTATCTTTAACGCCCTGGCGCGCATGAATTGGAAGTTGATCTGTCAGCACTATCCTTATCTTCAGGGCAGATGTTTTTATTTTATTTGGCTTATAATTCCTTACTAAATGTAGTATTTTCATCTCGATGTACTCTGTCTTTGATATGATTTAAATCAAATTCCTCGTCATTATAATTCGCTTACCGATAGCGAAGAAAGTGACATAGGTTATTGAAAACGAAAAAATTTCGATTGACAAATTAGTCGGTATTCTCGACACAGCAATTATAGGACTTTGTAAGCGGAACTTTGTAACTGAACAAGAAATTATGTCTGTTTATAGAATTAAAGAGAATGTATTATCACATAAAAAACAAAACAACTTAAACAACTTACATTGAAAGAAATGTTTAATAAAGTAAACAAATAAATATTAAGCTTTTTTTTTTTTTTTTTGTAAATTTTGATACCCTTTAGATCATAATTGTTCTTTATTTCATAAATTACGGTTTCATATTTTTAATTTTATAATTTTCTGCATGCCATCTTACCAGATTTAAACTGATGATCTTATGCGGAATCGCCGAAGTCCCGAGAGTCGATAAGACTTTTGACGTATAATTATTTAAATACAAATGAATAATTCAATATAAGTAAATATTTTTAAGTTCTAGTTTAGTGAGATGGAATGCAATGATGTATTTATTATAGAAAATTTTAATTTATTATTAATAATTATATTTTAAAATGAAGCTACTTTTAATATTCGTCAAAGACAAGTATAGCAATAAAAAGAAAAAAACCTTGGTAGTAAAAAAAGTAATTTGCATTACTTACTTCTGCAAGGAAATTTACTTCTTGCTGGCTACAAAAATGCACTTTAAACTAACTTTAATGTTTTTATTTATTTCTAAAAAATGGAAATAAAAGAAAATAAGGAATGGAAATCGCTATTGTTTTCCAATCCAAAGGTTTTCTTTTCTTCATCAGATAATTCTTCAAGAATCTGAGCAAATCAGCTGGTTGCACATATATTTTTGCCATGAAAACCAATATAAAATTTACAGAGCCAAATGCATTCAAATTAAAATAATACATGGCAATTAATAACAGAAAATGACAAAATATTTTAGAAAAAAAAAATTTTCCGAATTTTAAAACACGACCACGCACGTGTCGTAAATTTTATGAAAAAGCTGCCAGTAGCACAAAAGCCTAGTAAAAAAAAAAAAAAAAAAAAAAAAATTCAAATGACTTCCTGCTGGCACATTTTATGATGTGGGGAAGGGTAGAAAGGAGGATTAGAAATGACCTACAGACGTCTCAGCTTCGATATGTGAAAAATGTGCATTAAAAACTGAATTTGTCATAAATTTTGTGCATACGCACGTGCTGGAAGGTTAAAGGCCACCCAGATCACCTAATACTATCTTAATATAATACTTGAAATCTGCTAAAAATGAACAATCAAATACTTTAAATGCTGTTTCCAACATCTGCAAACTAAATTTTGCTAATTATACTGCCTAAAATTTATTTGCTTTATATTTTATTTGAACATCAATTAAGTATGTTCAGCATCACTTAAAAACTGCCAATACTTTTTATAGAAAATGACACATTTTAAATAATTAAATTAAATGATTTGTATAAGCATAAATTCACATGAATTTGTTAAAAAGAGAATTTAGCTGAAATCATTATAGATTTGCATGGTTTAACACCGACCAAATTATACCTCTTATAAACTGCCTTCTTTGTAAATAAATTATAAAGTCTGTTGCGACATATTTTACATTTCATGAAGATATGAAAAATAATGTATATGAACAGCGTACAATATATGTGTATAATATACAGAAATCACTTTTATTTTTCTTTATTAACAGCCTGACGTAAAACTTCACAAACAATAGCTGTCACATTTCATGTCGCCATATTATTATTAGAACTTAGGATTTATGTATTCACGAAACGAAAGAAGCATCAGCAAAATTTAGAACCATTAAAAACAGCAAATCTGTTAATGTGCAATAGAAAGACACTACACTCGATTATTAGTAAACAATAAATAGGGAAATGATTACGCAATTCCTCTCACGCATTTCGGAATATACGCCTTCGCAGTAACTATCATATCATAAACATTACACAAAATAACTAAGTAAAATATGATGATTTTAACTAAAAAATAAACTGCACCTACCAACAAAGTTGAAAGAAATTTCAGTTTTGAAACACTGGGTCACGTAATGTATTCCATACCGCGACGCCCGATTTTTAAATAAAAAATTTTAATTAAAAAAGAATTTTAATACACGATCGTATAAATGAATATTAATCAAAACAATAACTTTTACAACCGTTAAATGAATCCAATAGCTGTAAATAATTTTTATATAGTGAAAATATTAATTACGATATAAACAACTCTGTTAAATACCATATAATATTTATTGTTGCCATTACTTCACTGAAAATTTATAACACGTATTAAGGAGAGGTTCGCTCTTGTTTTGAATACAAAAATAAAATTTTACTTTGCTGGGAAAATTAATAAAATTTCCTCGTTCATATTAAAATTTCTTTTGTGAAGTAAAATTTCCTGTTAGTGAGTGTAATTCAGTTTTTACTACATACCGCATAAAAATTGGTTACTTACTTCTAGCCAATAAATAGTACTAAATATTTGGCAACTGAAGAAAAGAGAAAGCTAGTTATGTATTCGAATTGTTGTTTGATCCTTCAATTAAATATTAAATCTCCGTAATCTAAGAATTTCGATATCAATGAAGATATTTTAACAAAAACGTCGTTTAACTATATAGTATTTGCTATTGAAACCGAAACAAAAAGTACCGCTTTATTTTGTCTGCTTTTCTTCGCTATCATTATGAAATCATCTGGTTGGCCGATGCTATTCGCACCAGCGGTGCCAAGGGGTTAGAATCCTAACCTCCTTGAGCGGTGCGATTAGCCGCTTAAGCTATTCGCCCCAACATTAACCACGTATGCGCATTGAGTTGTCAGATCCGTCATTTGAACCCAATCGAAAAGAACATATTCTACGTACGCGAACTGCCTAAGTGTTGTATTGAATCTTTTTTTTTTTTTTAAAGGCGGGTTACTACCTTGGCGTAGTTTTTAATTTTTTAAGCGTTGGCGACTTTCAAAGGTTTAAAAAGAAAAATGGGTTCCTTTTCTTTCGAAAAGAAGGAACACATTTCCTTTTATTAAAGTATATATAAAAAAAGGGCAGATTTTTATGTTCGCAATGTTTATCGTTTTCCTGAACGGTTGGAATAGTTTAAATGACTGATTTGGGGGAGGACAAAATCTTGTTTACATTTTTTGTACTTCTTATAATACATTTAGCTTCAAAAATGTGTTTTGCGCAATCAAGACTTTAACTCATTCCTCTTTGAAAACTTTCGTCCGAGAAAAGATAGTAAAAATTAGACAGAGGATTTCTGGGTAGAAAATTTAGACATGAAATAAGTTAAAAGCGATTAAATCAACTATTAAATGAATAATTAATCATATAATACTCGTTATTAACAATTTATTAACAATTCTGCATGCCTGTTTATATTTTTACGGAAATACTTGACATTTTCAGGACACAAAAAGTACTTCAAAGAACTTTGAAATAGTACAAATACACTAATAAATTAAATTGAAATAAATAATGAGATGTAGATTTTATTTCAAAAATAACTTTTATTTTGAAATATGGCATTTGAACCTATAAACATGTGTGGATACTGGAAAAGTGATCAATATATAAGAATATTATAATTTTCAGTAAGTTTTCCTTATTGAATATAGTCAAAAGTCGTTAATGCAGACACCCATAATCCGGAATGATCTATAATCCGGGCCAGTCAACACATTAGAAAGTGTGTAGCTTATAATCCGGGATCTATAAGCTACAAACTTTCTAATGTGTTGACTCATGCGCATAATACCTTTACGCATGCGCATATGCGTGTACGCATACGCATAATACGTTTATGCATGCGCGTTTAATGTATAACGGACGGTATAAGCTAAGCTAAAATTATCTAAGTATCTATTTCAGTAATGTTGCAGATAGCGTTTTCCTTAAACTTCGAATTGGAACCGGCTTATTATTTTTTGCAGACTGTTAGAGCAATTTTATGAAAGTAAGTTGGAACTTTCGATTATGTCAAATAGAATTTCCGATACTGGATCTACAAAGGGAAAGCATGTTTCGATGTCCATCAAATAAAAAGTGAAATTGCTGCAAAAAAATGGATAAAGGCTCCTTTGTTTCTCTAACCATTACGAAATCTGTTTATCAATTTCACGCTGCTCTGCGCGGGAGGGGGACGTCGCGGTGCGCAATGAACTGGAAGTTAATTTGTCAACACTATCCTTATCTTCAGGGCAGATGTTTTTACTTTATTCGGCTTATAATGTAGTATTTCATCTCGATGTACTCCGTCTTGAATATGACTTAAATCAAATTCCTCGTCATTATAAATATCACGAATACAAATCAAATAGTTTTCTGGTTGCAATTTTTTCTAATTTCGACTATGCGTAATGTATGCTTTACGCATGCGCGTTGAAAGAAATGTTTAATAAAGTAAACAAATAAATATTAGGCCTTTTTTTTGTAAATTTTGATACCCTTTAGATCATAATTTCTCTTTATTTCATAAATTATTGTTTCATATTTTTAATTTTATAATTTCTGCATGCCATCTTACCAGATTTAAACTGATGATCTATAATCCGGAAAAATCGATAATCCGGAATCGCTGAAGTCCCGACGAGTCCGGATTAAAGACTTTTGACTGTAATAAATTCTGACAGTCCTATGCTATAAGACTAGGGTCTAAGTTCGCATAAAAATTCCTCTGTTAAATAAAAGAATTTAAGTAATTTCTGTAGCCTTTTTGTCAATACATTAAAGATTTTAACTAGTTACACGTCCTCGCTTGAAATTAGAATCCTCATTAAATGCCTATTTTATCTAATAATTTCCTGAACATTATCATGTATATAGATTGACCTCTTTGTAACTGATAACTATTACTTCAAATTAATCTCTTGCTGGGGAACTATTAACAACCCTTTCTATTGCTGAGAGACGGATTAACAACCTCCGCTCTCTCTACCGCATGCCTAAAGGAAATTGGCGTAAAATGCTGGTACGTGGGCTGATTGTGCGCATGCGTGAACGTAAGTGGTGTGAATAGCCTCTTAGCTATTAGCACCTTCGGTACGATTAGCCACTGCGCATTTGGTCGGATGCCAGTTTAACTTCTTATTGCAATAAGTTCAATTATAGACCATAATCGTTAACATCCTTAATATACGTCTTACTTTCTAAAATTAGAGGTGACGGGGCAAAGCCGTCAGGGAATATAAAAAAATAAATAAAAACAGTTTGAAAAGTTTCAGATTTTAACGGTAATCGAAAAGGGTTTGTTATGGTTTTTTACAAGGAGGTTAGAATAGAAGGAGGGAGGGTTCGCAGTTTCCTCCACTATCGGGGAATGAAACTCCACCGAACAAGCGGCGTCCATGTTTGTAACTTCAAAACATTGCATTACGGCAGTGAAATGTACTGTTTTTAAGCTGTTGCGTGCATGTATTTTCCACTAAAAATATGTAAAATTTATAATGAAATACTTCGCTATTGTTAGTTTTTTGTTCTAAAGTTAAAAAGATGATATCCGTAATTTACTACGTACAGAAAATCATTAAGAAATAGTTCGAAATCTAAATACATGTGCATAACATTAAAGCCTTTAAAAATAATGTTTCTGCATATTTCAAGAATTTGTTTAGGTTTTATTAGCTACCTGTTGCGTGTACTTTCCAGTTTTTCCTTTAAGAAGTGATATTTCGGATTTATTCACAATATTGTAATTTATTAAAGAATCATTTAAAATATATTTAACCTGAAATTAATAGCAGGTTATATGTCTAAAAAATAGTCATAGGTTGCATTTTTTAAAATGAAAGTTTTAAATAGATTCTTTTCACAACCAACAACCTTATAACAATAAGAATATAAATATTAAATAAAAAAACAGATTTATTTATGTGAAATCAGTGATTGCAGTTTTTGCGCGTTTCATATTTATGAATCTCAAAGAAATTGACTCGAATTAAGCTGAATTACAGAAATATACCTATACCTATATTTTTGGATACATCTTTCCACATGTTCAGTTGTGTAAATATTTTACTTACTTTTATCGCTACACTGCTCATAAATTTGTAAATTTATGCAAAAAAATTTTGGCAACAGGAAAGTTAGTTTATCTTGGTCAAATGCACAAATTATGTTCTTAACAGTTCAAAAAACTTAAAAATGAATAATAATTAATACATAAAGAAAAGCATTACTTTATTTAACCTTTACAATTCATAAAAATAGTAACAATGGTGTCTCACTTTTCATGAAAATTATCAAACGAATTACCTAAACGTTCAAATGATACAGTTTAAATCCTGCATACATCATCGTATATTAAGGAACAAGATGCCAGCTAAATAGAAACATTAAAATTATTTAATTATTTTATTATTATTAAATCCTTTTTTTCACATCTGGAAGAAAACAACATGACATTGTGATACTTTTTACCGTAGTTATCAAATTACATAAAAAAAAAAAAAAGAAAAAGAAAAAGAAAAAGAAAAGAAAACCAATACTTACGCGTGACAAGTAATCCCAGAAATCTTTTTCGAAAATCTGTTTGTACATCCATGTACAACACAAGCTGACATTCTTCAAAAAGAAAAGAAAAAGATATTGCAATTACAGACTTCCTTGCACAAGTCACAGCGATAACAGAAACATGGCCGCCAAGCTTCACTAAGGCAGTTAAACCTTCCCTCCTTCTATTCTAACCTCCTTGGTTTCCTACGCTGTAGCTGAGATCACAATCTACAGCTTGCAGTTACGTTCATTCCTATTAAACCATTTTATTTGCCTAAGCCTCATTTTCTTCGCGTTTGCGCTATATAAATACAACAGCAAAATTAGAAAAACATTTAAAATGAGCATAGCAGTATACGGTTAGAAATCCCGATGCAAAGTTAAATGTATGTACGTTTCACGCATTGTGATAAAACAACAGTACCTAGAGCCATTGAATTTTGCATAACGCACGTCTTCACCTGAATATGTGCATCTGGAGGCTCAGATTTAGAATTCTGACTTTTATTATCTACTTCATATTTTATAAAGAGTTCTGAGTTTCTGAATAAGAAACTTAACGATTTCAAAGCGAGTAATGGCAACACTGTATGGAAACAAAATTATCTCCAGCGCGCGAGACTGTGTGTCGGAAATTCTAAAGATATGCTCTGTGATATTGCTGTTGAAATGAATTTTATGGTTTAAGTGCGAAGAACATGATA